GGCAAAAGTCTGTACAACCCTGCGGCTCTGAATGAATTGGGTACGCAAATGTACTTGCTCAACAAGTGGTACATGTAGACGTGTGGCAGGGGTGAGCAGTGGATCTTTGTCAGATTTAGAGACCATCATTACTTCCGTGGCGATGACATCTTACATATTAGTTTCGAAGAATTGCATCAACTATACCACATGGACGCTCTGGACAAATCAATCATTAGCTCCTTTTGTTTGTAAGTGATTCTTACTTTTATTTAATAAACTCACTTCCATGCGTACGTGTATATAATTATCCTCACATATAACTTATATTTACATACAGATTCCAGATGTCAGAGCTCCAAAGAATACAAGACACCAGTGTTGACTTCATTGATCCTTATATCGTATTCAAAACCGGTATTATTGTCAAGGAGCGGTGGGTATCTGAAGCACAGGAGAATATCATGATGTTCTTCGTGAAGCAGCACGACAAGACAACAATACTTTTCCCGTACAACTTTGAGTAAGTGTTAATAATAATGTAGTCTACACATTTTATGTAATATCAATACAACTTATATGCATGTACGTGTGTGTATAAACCAATGCAGGTTTCACTGGATACTCATTGTCATTGAGTTAAACTCAAGTCGGTTAGTAATCTTTGACTCGTTGAGAAAAGAGCGGGTACTATACCAAGATATGATAGATATTATCCAGAGGTAATTTCGATCTCTCGCGCACAACTATTATTGAATAGACTTTGCCATAATTTATTAACGATCGTACATTATTGGTCGCACAGGGTTTGGAAATAGTTTATTCGGCAACATCGCAAGGATTGCAAGGCACCACTTAGTGTAGTTGAAATACCAGTAAGTTGTACTATATACACTTCCCCACGTGTTTAATTACTATATCGTACTTCAATTTACATGTGAGATGATGAGAATAATCTTCTTCTCGTACAGTGGTGTTTGCGGCAGGAACCAGGTAATAACTTGTGTGGATACTACGTTTGTGAATTTATCACTGCGCACATAAGAAGAACTCCTAAAGATGTCCTCAGAGTATGTATATATCAATTTTTTATTTATTTTTAAATGAATATATATATATATATGTATTAATACTTTTCCTTTTATTTCAAATGCAAGACTGAATGGTTGAAACGAAAGGTCATGCAAAAAGACCATCTGAAATCTGTTCAAGAGTCAATAGCAGGATATCTTTTAGAAAAAGTGCTAAATCCCAACGGCGAGTTCTACTTTGATCCTAAGGAATAAATGATGTAAATTAAATGTTTATTGATATCGTTATTTTCGAGAACAAGATTATGAAAGTGTTGTATATATACATATATATATCTATAATATATATAGGTTCATACTTTATTCGAATATAATAATGCTCGAGATGAGAATTAGATGTAATTATATGCGTGCGTGTATTTATATTAGCAGCATAGAATACGTACATAAAAACATATTATATATTAAACAAATACGTATAACTGAACTGAAAACAAATTAAACAAAAAAAAGAAAAAGAAAATGAACCTTTAGTCCCGGTTGGGGTTACCAACCGGGACTAAAGGGTGCGGCCACGTTTGCTCGGCTGGAGGGCCTTTAGTCCCGGTTGGTAACATCAACCGGGACTAAAGGTCCCTCTTTAGTCCTGGCTCGATGACCCGGGACTAAAAGTGGCACCTTTAGTCCTGAGATCGTTGTCCCGGCGCGGTAACCAGGACTAAAGACCGTTACCGCTCGAGACAACAAGTCATTCTGTAGTAGTGCACCGAGTCCGATCTTGTGCATCTCATGATCTCGTGCAAGCCGCCTTCACCGCATTGCTGTGGCCGTCAACCTCAACGACGATCTCTTCTTCTATCTACTGTGATCTTTTCTTTTGCACTCTTCTCTGTTGTGAACCAGATGCCGGGGACGGGCGGACTGGCGGTTGCCTGTACAAACCAGTGGGCAGCAGCTAGGGCCCATGGGCCGGCAGCCGCCTGCAGTAGCCAGCGGCTAGCACTCAGTGGATTTGCACAAGGTAGGCGGTGGTAGGGATCAAGCTACCAGCTTCGGCCGGTCACACAGGAGGAGCCTCCACACTGTCGGGTACATGCTTGGATGGTTGGACCTCAACTGCTAGCTGATCCTGGCGTCAGTGTCCGCCATCAACGCTAGGACGCCCACAAGAGAGGTGTTTGACCTGTTGCCTGCAGTATGTCACCATAGGAGCAACCTGTCAGTTCAAAGCTTGCAGTTGGGTGTGATTTGTGATGAATAAGATGCAGACCAATGCTTCCTGACAGCTTAATGCTCACAACTGAGAAAATGAATCAAATTTACGGTCACGTATGCTAATAAATTAACAATGTAGGTGTTGTAGTTATTTCTGAGGCCTCACATGACGTCATCAAGATAACAGGATAGAGGCATAGAGCATGTGGACAACTTTAAATCTTTAATTGCTTGCCGATCTTCATAGAATAATATTATATTATGTTTAGACTGACTAATGTCATCCTGTATATTTTTCATTATTTTGGTTTCTCAGTTGTCGATATGGGTTCTGGCTGTCGGTCGCTCAAAAGAAAGAGGTTGTACGCTGCAATCACCGATACACACATCTACAGGTAACTACGTTATATTTATCTTGTAATTGATCGAGGCAATCATTTTCTGTCAACATAGGTTTACTCGTATGTTTTATTATTTTGATTGACACGGACGAGATTGTAGATGAGTTGAATTCATGAAGTGGGAATGGAACACATATCTTCCATATGGGATGTGAGTGCCATGGTTTTTTGGAAAGACAACGTACGACATCACCATGGTGATACATATTTGCGTGTAATTTTGAAGGATGAGCAGGTGCATTTTGAGCTCATCTTTTTGGACCATGTCTAATTTTTTTTTCTACAGACCATTGTTATCTATTTGTTGAATCTAATATTCTTACAGGGAACCAAAATGGAAGCGGTTGCGTACGGCGACCAAACCATGAGGTTTGACCGTTTGCTTCGTGTAGGAGAATGTTATGACTTCATGAGAGTTGGCTTCGCGCCTACTCATGTTGGTCCTTTGGGCTACATCTTTCGTTTATGTGCCGACTACTTTGTGGTTCTATCTCCACAAAGTATGGCTAATGCATCATCGAGAGAGCTATGGATTTGTCAGTGTCCTCGTACTTTTATGGAATTCGAGGATGTATACGCTCAAGCTGAGTACTTTTTTTGTAGGTATACCTCATACGCCTATATTTAAAAATACATAGTTAATTGTTCATGCTCCTATTCCATCAATAACTATCTTTTGTGTTTGTAGATGTCATTGGTATAGTTGTGCATGTGTCTAATATTCGAGGAAGGGATGATGTGCGGATACGACCGTATAGATATGTGGTGCTGATGAATGAAAGGTACTTAGAATGAAAATTTTATCATTGCTCCATGCTATCAAATTTTTATTGTTTAATTCTAATCAATTTTGTAACTCGTAGGTACCACTGCATCATAATAACTGTCACGTATACACACATATCTTGTCACTTATCGAAATGGCGGCGAGCGGCATCAGAGTTGCACATTTTAGCTGGTCTCCATGTACAAATGAATAGAAAGAGGTATGGTATCACTGATGTCCATATGTATTGACTAAATAAAGTATCAGTTATTACATTTTTTGCTCGTGCATGATAGGCTGAGTGACCACTAATAACGATTTCAGCGAATTGGTATTCAGTTCTATTTGTAATCAGGCGCATGATTTTCAAAGTGAGGTTCTTTTGGGGTAATTCATTGATTTAATTTATTGACTACAACACTGACCCAAAAGTTTTTTATTTGTTTATAGGCCTACGCAATCGTATGCTTGTTGATGAAGCCAGACGTCGCCGAGTTCAAGAATTTGCTAAGGACACCGTGTTGCGTCTCATAGATTTAGAGAACTAAATAATATTGAAATTATTTACACGCTCATGACAAGCACTTTGAATAAATGGTGGACATGAATTTAGTTTAATATAATAGTCATTTTGTGCATTTTTATTGGTCAAACAGGTTCAAAATATGTGGATTGAGTAATATTTGTCTAACATATTTGATTGCTTCATTTAGTTTGTAATATCGGAGACTTCTTGCCGATATAAAACATTATTTTAGCCGTATCACGAAAAGATCTATATAGTAGAGTTTGTGAGCCTACGGTGTCGTGCTCTTAGTGACTGTTAATTTCAAAAACTATGCTTTTTGGATTAAATATCAGTTTAATGTTTTACAATATTGTTATCTTATTGTACGATCCGTGTGTTTTTAGTACAAAGGTTTAGTTGTCCCGTAGCAACGCGCTGGCACGCTACCTAGTTAACCTATATTTTCCTACTAGTAGGTTAGAGATAGATCATAAGATTACAATACTATTGGTTGGAATACTATAATCCAAGATATTATTTTATCTTATTACTATGTTCCAAAAATATGTCCCAAACATATCCTAAGTTTATCCCCAATCAAAATTTGTTTTGTCAAAATCATGTGGCCTTGGCATGGTTTACATGATGTTTGGGTGTTCCTTTGTCCAATTTACGTCCAAACAAGTGCTTACCAAGGTTTCAGTAACAAGAATGCAAAGAAAAGAGATTCCCCTCTGTCGATGATTTCAGAAGCGATATCACGCAACAAAATTATACTAATAAAAAGAAAAATATGCGGGGTGATATGAACCCAAGAGCGAGAGCAAGAAAAAGGTTTTGATAGCTCTCACCACCGGATGAATTTCAATCAGAAAAACCACAAGCGAAACCTTGGACACTTTAGCAGGTGCGCTTCTCTTGTTATTTCATATATATTTGTCAGCTGTTCCATCGTTTCATGTCACTATGTATATGCGTGAGATATTGGTCAGCAAGAAATTCTAATTTCTATGGACCGGCAACGAACTCTAGCTTACAGTTTACTAGGCCACATACTGGTGTACTTCAATTTGAAGTATCAGAAACTTACTACCAGGCCATCACCCTGAAATTGAAGGGTCAAGGACGCGGCCAACAAAGACGATAGCACGAGACACCTCCTCGATCACAAAGAACACAAACGGGTGGTCAGCAACGAAATCCACCTTCACCGGCTGATCCATCACCGCACTTGCTCCACAGAGCATGTAACTAGCAGTGGCACCATTGGCAACGGTGCCTCCCTCGTTCACCTCGATCACTGCCTTATGGCAGACGTCCGCAACGTACAGCGGCGTGCCAGCAGTGTCAGCGTCCTCGTCGCGCTTGGCCGCCATGTCGGCCAGGTCAGCTTCGCCGGCAACGAAAGCGGACTTGATCCCCATGCCGTCACTCAGGGCCTCCCTCACGCTACCGGAGGCGGACAGCTCGAACTTGGGCAGCCGGAAGTCCCCGACGGGGACCTGCCAGGTCGGCAGGCGGTAGTGCCAGAACCCGGGGCCAGAGGCTACCTTCTCGACGAGACCTGGGAGCCCGTCCCGCTCGTCCGGCAGGAAGACGCACATGGAGTATTTCGGGGCGGGGTCGTCATCGCCGTCGCCGGGCTTGCTCTCTGATGGTGTTGATCCCTTACGTCGTGGTGCTGGCGCCGGTGCTGGTGCCGGTGCCGGCGATCTGTAAGGAAGCTTGAGCACCTTGTACCCGTTGCGGATGGCGATGTACTGGCTCCGCACTGAGCACATGAAGGGCACGTCGGCTGTGCTGCCGTCCAGGCGGTGGAACTTGTCCACCACCGTGTGCGCCTTGGCGAACGGCGCCTCCCATCTGCCCTTGAAGTAGATGCTGCTGGAGAGCACGAGGGTTGTGAGTGTGTCCACTGAACTTGAATCGAGGATGGAGTCGATGTGATTGTTGGTCGCCGCCGCCAAACAGCCGTTGATCTCGCCAACTGCCTTCTCCGGCTTCACCAACAGACAGAATTAAAATTTTGTTTCAGTAGTGCATTCCATTAATAATGTACAAGAACTGTCAAAGGAATTTGGATGATTTCGATTAGATCCGTATAGTCTGCAATGCATGCAGGTTACAAGATCTCACCTCGTTACCGAAGTCGACGGCGCGCGCCTCGGCGTTGTAGGACGCGGCGGCGGCGGCGCGGAAGGCCGGCAGGAGCGCCCACGCCGCGTCGAGCCACGCGCCGCACGCGAACGCGACGGCGGGTCCACCGCCCGAACGCGACCGCGACCGCGCGCTCCGCGGCGCGGCGGGCGAACGCGGCGAGGTCGTCGCGGGAGTCGCCGCCGAGCGCGTTGAGGAGCTCCTGGAGCGTGCCGCCGCGGGCGCTGGCCGCCAGCAGCGCTAGCGCCACGTAGACGGCCACCGGCGAGAAGAGGAGGTTGGCGGCGGCCGCGGCGGCGGCAGCCGCGCTAGGGCCGCCCGCCGGCTCCCCCGTGACGACGGCGGCGGGCGGCGCTTGTAGCTGTAGTTGCCTGGTGAAGCAGAGCGCGAGCGCCGTTAGGCCGGCGGCGTTGGACTTCTTGGGCACGGTCTTTCCTGATCTCCGTCGCTTCCGCGTCATGGATAAGTTGAATACTTGATTGGCGACGATGTTTCTCTTTGGCCCCGTGCCCTTAAACCCGACTTAAGATCGTTTTTTTTCCATTCGGAACAGTGTTTTTCTCTCACAAATTCTTTCAGTCATCCAGATTCCTCCAAAATTCCTCCAAACAAACGGGGCCTTTGTGTGTGTGTCAGGATCGAGTATCAATCTATCTACCATCTATCGTCATCATCATCATCATCACACATATAATACACTAGTTAGAATAAATCTACAGCCACGTAACAAATACATGCTCCATAGTCATGATTCATGCTACATTCACACCCATGAATGCACCCAGAAAATATAACACCGTCAAAACGGATGCACCAGATTATCTCTTAGCTATTTTCTCTCTTTACTCATCCAAATCCGACGACTCATGTTTAGTGTGTCTGCCCTCCCTCGCCCTCCGTGGACCTCCCACGCCCGCAACCAGCCGTCCACGCCCGCGCCCCCGTTGGCCACGGTTCGATTCCACACCCACGCCCATTGTTTTTCTTTTTCCCCTTCTGTCTCGTCCGCACTTCCTCTTCTCGTCGCGGGGAAACGGCGCGCGACTAGGGTTCACAGGACGCCGCCATGCCTGGGACGCCCACTGCCCCACCCTGCTCGAGTTCGTCGGCGTCGACCGCCTGGGCCTCCTCTCCGAGGTCTTCGCTGTGCTGCACGACCTCCGCTGCGATATCGTTGACGCCAAGGCCTGGACGCACGGTGGCCGCGTCGCTCGCGCTCGTGTTTGTGAGCGACGAGGAGACGGGCGCGCCGATCGACGACGCGTCGCGGGTCAGGCGCGTGGAGTCCCGGCTCAGGCACGTCCTCCACGACGGCGCGGGCGGCACGACGATGGTCTGGCCAGACACCGTGTCGTCAACATGGACCGGAGGCTCCACCAACTTCTTAACGAGGACGGGGAGGCCCAGAGCCGTGCCGACATAGCGGAGGCGCCCACGGTGATTGCCAATCCCAACTTCGCCTGCTACTTCCGTTTGCTCGTCCGTCAGACCATGTCCGTCACCAGGTCGACTGGATTGCTCGTCATGTGCTCGATGGAATGCACCAGGGATTTAGGGCAGTTTTAATTTAATGTATTTTATCTTCGTGTAGTTACAAGCCAGATGTAATTAAAGGGAAAATGGACTCAATAAGGCTAGAAGTGAAGGAGTATTATTTTAATTTGGTAACTACTGTATTTTTTAATATTTAGCAGGGTTGAAAATGACAGGCTAATGCTTGGTAGCTCGTACATGAACATTATAGTTGTTCTGCATTTAACAACTGTCAAGGACAGCTTCGAGTGCACATGTACAATACTATCAACGTCTTGCCATCTGTTGTAGAACATCCGTTGTCAGATATTCAGTTTAACCATCAATAGGTTAATGATTCGGTAGATTGAGAACATAGAATTAATACTCCTAGATTCTTCGTTGAGAGTACCTTTACGTCGTGGGAGGGTTATGTGGCTGGAGGAGGCAGGTTAGAATGCTGCTCCATGAGGTTGTGAGTTCGGTAATAGCAGGTAGCAACATTTAAGACTTCTGAAGAGTCTAGGGCTCTCTTCAGTTCTACTTTTCTTAAAAAAAATATACAGCATATATATTTTTTTATTTGAAACTACGTATGTTCTTACAAATCACAAGTCAAAATATCACATTTAGGACTGTGTCGATGTCCTAGAATCTACGTTTGTAATTGAGGGAATTGTTCATTAAAATTACTTTTTTAATTACAGTAGTATGTGGAGTGAAAGGGAAATGCTAAAATTAATTGCATGAGTTAGGCATAGCGACTATCCAAACTTCCTAATCTGGAATAAGTTGTGCCTTGTTTTGTTTTAGATTCTTGTCCAGAGAATCTGTATCTAGAGAAAAAGAAGTATGCAAGACATGCAAACATAATCCTCTATATTTTTTTGTTAGTTGATTGTAGTTTTAATACTGCACCTCCGTTATTCATAAACTTTGAATATCCTTGGGAAGCTCATGGGCTAAGGAATTAGGCACTTTGATATCCCCTGTATTTTGTTTCTGATGTACTGTCTTTGGAGAAAATTCATAGAAGCCATTGGTAAATTGAGTGGGTACACGCTGCTTTTAAGATTCTGCCTCCTGTTCCTGCACCCTTGATCCTACCTTCATACTGGAAGCTCTTTTGTTGACCGGGAACTATGCAAAGTCAGATTAACAGATTTTACTGTGATTTCTCTAATTGCATCTGTGTATTCTTGTTCTTAGTGTACTTGGTATGATTTTAACAAAAAAAAGGTAACTTTGGTATATCTAGCTTGAATTTGTACCTGCCTCTTATTTTGGTAAGGATATGTAACTTCAGCATATACCATTATGAAACTGCAAAGATAGAACTCTTGTCCATTGAGAACTTGTATTTAAACTTGTTTGATATCTTCATATTGCTATTTGAGTAACTGACCTACAGGAGGCTGGAGGCCAAAAAGCAATAGTTGAGGAGCAAGCTGAGGATGCAGCCTTCGTCAGGGAGGAACTTGATCATCGAGAAACGTGAATCTTAATGAATTTAATTGTTTGTTTTACTTTTTTATAAATTTTATTCTATTTTTTATTTTATCGTAGCGTTAGCACGGACAATATACTATATATGGAAAATGTCTAGTTCTCATACAAATCCAATATCTGCGACTAATAATACCATAAAATAAACTCGTATTTCGTTCCAATTTCCATGCCATCGGCGAAAAATTCTGTGTAGACGCGGAGCCGGCGGAAGGCTCCAGATCACGCGGCCTGGAACTCTGATGCCGTCATGTCGATGCACAGCACGTGGACACTCACCAAGAAGATATCCAGACGCCCCGTGGCTCCCGGCTCGGCTACGGCCCTGTGCAGGCTTATCTGACAAGTCAGGATCCGGAGAATTTGCTGTTTGAATAAGTTGGGCGTTTGACTGTCCTGATTATTTCTGGTATATTATCTGTTCTGGATGTAAATTGACCTATGTACCTCTGAGGCTGATGATACCTCTTTTGATTCGTCACAATGATCCGAAGGCAATGGTGGGAATATTTTTAAAGTTTGAGATAGCAATATGGCTGGATATCCGAAGGAGGAGAGGGGATGGCCGCCGGCGCACTAGCTGGAGCACCGCCGGCGCAAACGCTCTCCCAAACACGACCTACGGATCAACTCGGATTGGCTGATAAGCGAAGAGACGGTCGGCTCGCCTTCCAGAAAAAGCGCTGTACGGGTACCGGTCCTGCTGGTGGCGCATAGTCGTCGACGGAAAATCGCCATCAGCAACGCCGCCGGCTTTGTGGATGGGGCCGCCGGCTGCGGCGAGAAGCACGTCCATGCATGGTTTGCCCCGGCGAGATGACCACCGTCCGTGAATGTGTGGTTGTCACTGCAAAGAACAAATATTGGTGAGCCCCTGACTATTTGACAACATGTCTAGGGTGATTGTTCCATATAGTAGTGGCTTTAAGTCCCCATGCATGCTGATTTGGATAGCATATAAGGGCAGTCCCAATGAAAGAAACTATTAGTTTCTATAACATAGGATACCGCACCAGAAAAGTATTGCTTTTCAACCCATAGTTTCTATGAGTAATAATTATTTTCTCTTTCTCTCTCCCAACTCTATCTTCTTCCTCCAATGGGAGTGCGACACGAGCTCCTTAGAAACTGGTGGTTTCTCCCCAATGGCGATTTTATGGTTTCTTGGTGCATTGGGTCAAGAGTAGACCTGATTTCTTTATGAGGAAACCATTTAAATGATTTTTGCTCTCTTTCTTCATTAATTACGTTGCCATGTCAGCGTTTTGCCTACGTGGCAAGTCATTTAATGAGAATAGAAACCATCATCAATACACTATTGGGACTGCCCTAAGTGGTTTACGCAGATGCTCAAAATCCATTTATGGGGGCAGGCAACATGTCCGCCTTCAAGCAGAGGCTTCCGTTAATCAAAATTTGCAGTGTGAACAGAGTGCCTGCCTGCATTAATCAAAATTTGTGGAGGCGGACACGGTGCCCATCTCCAAAAATAAATTAGAAAAAACAAAAAAGGGCCCGCTGGTGAGCCCGAACCCACCAATGAAGTCGCCGCTGCCGCATCCCTCGCGCCCGTCGCCGCCAGATCTAGACTCGTCATCGGTGGATTTAGACCCATCGCCATTGGATCTAGAAACACCATTGCCGGATCTGGACCCATCGCCGACAGATCGATGCCATGACGCCAGAGGAGACCCGCACCCTTGCAGAGCTCCGGGCCGCCATGCCTTGGCCGCACACTGGCCTCCTTGGGCGCTACCGGAGGAGGACCACCTCCTCACTCATTCCACCGGGCGCCTCTCCGGTCGTGCGCACGCCCCCTGCTGTCAGGGCGCCTCTCTCGTCACGGCGTGTGTCCTACACCACCGAGGCGCGGCTCCTGAGGGCCTCCCATAAAATCTTTTTTGTGGTAGTGATAGTACTGCCATTTGGTGGTTTGTTGCATAGGTTGGGAAACAATAGCCAAAATTTGTCACATGATTATGCTGCTTTCCTTGTGTTCGAGCTAGATGGTAGCCGAGAACAAGTTGGTCAGCTGCCACAACCATGGTTGCCTCCTAACTCCTTGAGCCTAGGGGTGTTTGGGATTGCTATACAAACTCTGCTTCACAAACTCCACCTAGAGCAGCTCCACAAAAAACTGGAGTTTATGGAGCACCTCTTCAGGTGCTCTCACAACTTGTCGGTGTTTTGGACCGGGGGGTCCTCAACCAACGAGTGAATTTGAACTACGTGCCCCTAGTTCCGGATGGTGATGCAAAGAGACACAAGGTTTATACTGGTTCGGGCAAGAGGTGCCCTACGTTCAGTCTAAGAGAGCGATCTTGTATTCTTTGCACCGAGGTGCTCGTAGTAGGGGTTTACAAGCAAGGCGAGAGAGGGAGATAGTCCCAGGTCTCTGTGTGGGGCGGTCGTGGGTTGCTTGAGATGTTGATCTCAGGCAGT